CTTCATACATGTGTCCCCTCTTCTTCATGTCTCTTCTACATCAACATGTGTCCCCTCTTCTTCATGTCTCTTCTACATCAACATGTGTCCCCTCTTCTTCATGTCTCTTCTACATCAACATGTGTCCCCTCTTCTTCATGTCTCTTCTACATCAACATGTGTCCCCTCTTCTTCATGTCTCTTCTACATCAACATGTGTCCCCTCTTCTTCATGTCTCTCTACATCAACATGTGTCCCCTCTTCTCCATGTCTCTTCTACATCACCATGTGTCCCCTCTTCTTCATGTCTCTTCTACATCAACATGTGTCCCCTCTTCTCTACGTCTCTTCTACATCAACATGTGTCCCCTCTTCTTCATGTTCCTTCTACATCAACATGTGTCCCCTCTTCTTCATGTCTCTTCTACATCAACATGTGTCCCCTCTTCTTCATGTCTCTTCTACATCAACATGTGTCCCCTCTTCTTCGTGTCTCTTCTACATCAACATGTGTCCCCTCTTCTTCGTGTCTCTTCTACATCAATTGTAAGGTGTCCCTGGGTGCTTTGAAAGGCGCCTCGAAACAGAATGAATTCTTATCCTTACCTCTCAGAGCATTCAGGGCGTCCTCCAGCTCGTTGGTGTTGCTGTCGATGCCATTCAGAGCGTCCTCCGTCTGCACCTTGGCGACGTCCACTCTGTCCACCAGCTTGTTGAACTCCTGCAGGAAGTACAGACTGATTCAAACACATATCCTATCATCCAGAGGAACTAATACATCTCAGCCTGCATCAACCCGGCACCTAACTGATCAATGAAACACACACATCAGTTCCTATACCCCGCATGGACCCGAATATAAGACGGGTCTCTTTACCTAGAAACACATCTGAAAAAGAGGGCTCGTCTTATATTCGGGGTCTAGACTTTTTGATGTAATTACACAGTCACAACAACAGATGGCGCCAAACAAGTGTTCCCCCAAGAGAGACACCGTCTTAAAGCAACAGTTCAACACGAGAGAGAGAGAGATGGAGAGACACTGAGACCAACTCCAACAACGTGGATCAAAAGTAGGCGAGATAATAAACAAGAGAACAGAAGTTACTGAGACAATTTGAAGATGATGGTGATCTACGAAGTCATCTAGCAACTGACGAACGGCAAATAAACATGGAGCTACTGAGAGTAACGTTAGAAGATGGAGAGCCCAGTCAGAGAAAAGCTTTCTGCGGTCCGCACAATTTGAACACAATGAGTGATGTGTGTTATCATTACTTTCAGATAAGATTAGATTCTTTATAAAAACTAGATTTGGTCTTCAAAAAGGTATTTTTCCAAAAATGAGTCTTGAAAAAGAACCGTGGTCTTATAATCGGCGTAGTCTTCTATTCAGGTCAATCTCTTTTTTTATGGACGAGTAGAGAATGCACATCAAAGCCTGATGATGGACATGTGTTGAGGTGGCCTCGTGGTTACAAGCAGGGTTTGACGTGATTACAAATGAATTAAAAGGTGGGACCGATGATCCGTCAGTACCAGGGGTCGGGGGAAATAATCGATACAGCATAGTATCGCGATACTTTGAGGCAATAATGTATCGATACACAGACGCCAAGTATCGATATGTTATTATACTAACTATTCATATTGCAAATCCAAGTTTAAGTTTTTGGTAACAATTTATTTTTCAATCCACTAGATGGTTCTGAGCTTCGTCTTGTCTTGTCTTCTTCTTCTTGCTAAAGTCAGTGGAACTGGCCGGAAGTTACTCAAAACAAAGATGTATATATTTCGCAATACTACTTTGCAAATCGTAGAATCGCAATTAGTGATGTTACGTTCACGAACGATCCGATTCTTTTGAACGGCTCTTTGGTCCGAACGAAGGGAACCGAGTCGTACCGAAGAGCCGTTCTTTTTATCGTAGGTTCACTGCCGGCCATAAATCCACTCGCCTTTACGGGAACCTGCTCTCCTCCTCTCCTGCAGTGAGCCAGAGATGTGTAGTACCATTAAAACTCAAGATGATGGCGTAACGCACGCTGCTTGAGGAGCAGTTTGGCTGAGAGATGCATCTTACTGTGAGTCAAAGTAGATCTCTGGCAATATGGACCAATCTTTATAAACCTATTAGCCCCGCCCCCTTGAAAAGGAAACTGCTCTTTTGAACGGCTGTCGGAAAGGAACGGAGCCATAAGATCCGGCTCCCTTCAAAGAGCCGTAATTGCCATCACTAATCGCAATACTATCGCATCGTGGCTTAAGCATCGCCATAGTATCGTATCGTGGGGACCCCTATCAGTACCTTCTTGGCGGCCTTGCCCTGGGCCAGCAGGTCCTCGGTGGCGGTCTTGTCTCGCTGAACGGTGTCCTGCAGCGTATCCAAACCTGAGATATGTGCGTCCACCTCCACCTTCACATCGTCCAAACGGGACACCATGGCGTCCACCTGCCCCTGAGCATGATGGGAAGACAGAAGACATAACGGTGAGTGCTTGAGGTCAAGACTTCTCTCTAAAGGTGGACTGCACATCTGGATTTTTGACATTCACCTTCAGGTCTGCTGGGAGGCTTCGCTCCATGTTGGCGATGTCCTTCAACATGCCGTCGGACGTTTTGCTCTCGTCTTTGGCCTGGTCGCTCAGACGGACCCCCTGGTTCTCCAAACTCTTCACCTGGCCCGAGGTCTTCTCGTGCCTAAAGTCAGTCAATGTCAACTTTATAGTCAATCTTTCAGTTTGTGTGTACAGACAGAGAGATCCAAATACAGTTTCCCACAATCCCGAATACAAAAACAAATATATATAAATATGTTTATACATTTATATAAACAAATCCAGACACATTTGTACATATGCACACATCAAGACATACATAAAAGCAAAACAATCAATATATATAAAATAACAGTCACTTCAATATCTTTGAGAAATGTAAATCCAAGACTGAACACACCATACGTCATCAACACAGATTGACTAAGAGTCTCCTGGATTATTTAACTATTGAAGCCACCTTTCCTGCCCTCAATCAGGTTTATAGATTACCTCTACTGTAAATACTACATTACCCATGAGCCCTAGCGTCTACCGTCTGATCATCATTTTCCAGATCAAAATGTATATATATATAAATATAGAATTAAACATACTTAGAGTTGCCTTTGAGTTGATGGTTTTGGATCTATATTGTGCCCTCCCAATGTTTGGTGGTTTATCTGAAGTTGGGGTTGTTTAGTGGCTTTTCTTTGTACTTTTTCTATTAGGGGATCAGATATTTTAGAGTTGTCTGGAACGCAGCATGAATTCATTAAATATTAGCAATGCTTCGTGGCTACAGTCAGAATCAAAGAAACTGCTAAATGAACCCAAAACTCATCTAAAATCCCAAAATGAATGGATTAAAACAAAGACCAAGCAGACCGGTTCGCAGCAGCATTTAAAACGATGAAATCAGTCCTCATGTTACCAGGGAAGGATTAACTGGAGGACTCACATGGTCTTCATGTCTCCGATCAGCTCCTGGACTTTGTTCTCTCTGGTCATGAGATCCCGGACCAGAGCCAGACTCTTCTTCGAGTGTGTCAGAGCTTCGCTGGCGGTCCGCTCCACAGAGTCAGCCGTCGTCTGGTGTCTAAAGGACAACACACAGGAAGTGAGACACACACATCTGACACGGTGTACAACACAAGCTCCTCAACAATATATCAGTGACAACTCCAATAAACCATGGGCGGAAAGTAGTTTGTGTCTGTTTGTGTCCTTATGTACTCATTTGATATGTCTTTGTGTCTGTTTGTGTCCTTATGTACCCATTTTATATGTCTTTGTGTCTGTTTGTAGTCATTTTGCATTGTTTTGAAGTCAATTGTGTGCAGTTGTTGTATCTTTGCTCTACATCTTGTACAGTAAATGTGAGGTCTTACTTATCAGCCAGACTGAGGGCCGTGGGCACCAGAGAGGAGAGGAGGGTCGTCCCCAGAGGAGCGTCTCCCTGAGGAGCGTCTCCCTGAGGAGCGTCTCCCTGAGGGATGTCCTGACAGGAAGAAGAGACAAACAGCTGTTAGAGACATCATCATCATCATCATCATCATCATGAGTATCTCTACACCGTGGTATTAGTACTTTTACTTAAAGATAATTGAGATTCAAACCAGTTTCCTAAAAGGACATTGCTTGGTGTGAGAGCTGCTCCAGCTTACCACACACTTCAGCTAACATGGTGTAGATTTACTGAATCTATATTTGTGTTATAACTGTTATAAGAGTTGGATTTATTTTCTCTATGTAGGTTCATTTGTCCCGAGATTGCAAACCTTCCCACGGAGGACAAGAGCCAGATGTTGCGGATGTTTTTTGTGCAAAGTGTGTCTCAGGTCTTACGGCTGATCTGAGGTCGGCCTTGGCTTCGTCCAGTTTTCTCTTCATGTCCTCTATCAGAGCCTGGACCTCCTTCACCTTGGCGCTGTACGTCCGCTCTTGTTGTTCGATGTCGTCCTCTGCCTCGGCCACGTTTTGGATCTCCTGCTCCTCGTTCAGCTGACTCCTGCTGATGGACGCCAGACGCGCCTGCAGCTTCTTCTCCTCCACTGTTGGAAGCAGGAAGACATTTTGTTGTCATGCATGGGTTTTATATTACAAATGAGAACAACTAACGTAAAAGAAGACGCCCTGTAGTTCTGTATTAGAGCCCAGAGAGCCCAGTACCACAAAGAGCCTCAGGTAAGCCAGGATTTTGGATGACTGAATGGATGTGTCGAGAACTAATTATCCAATCATGTCAAAACCAAATTTAACATCAACACAAATGACCTTTTTTAGAAGTGTTAATTATGTCAAATGTATTTTTGGATCTGACACGTGATATTATGTCTTGGGGCACACATGTCACAGCAGGAGAATTTAAATTGAAAAAGGGAACAATTATAAAAAATAAAGGAAATATTATTAAAAAAAATATGGTTCGCATAAACACAAGGAGCAAATCATGAACATTTAAAATATGCATAAAACATAATTAAAACATTTGATAAAGTGCAAATAATAAGTGGTATGTGCAAAGGTTCACAGTTTGAGGGAGAGTTTGTAATCAACAGAGATATATTCCCTGCGTTAATGCGTTAAAGGGCCCACGGTCTTTCTGAGCGATACGAACAGAATGATTTTGTTCACCGATGTTTGGGGATAGAAGAGCTGTCTCACCTGTGAGCCCCTCGGTCTCGTACTGCAGGTCGTCCACCAGCTCCTCCACAGCGTTCAGAGCCGCCTCCATCTCTGCCTTGTTGGCGGGTTTCAAACCTGCGTCCATCTCTGAGAACAGACGCTCCAGCTCGGTCAGCTTGGCAGCGTAGGCCTGCATCTGGAAGGTAAGGTAAGGTAAGGTAAGGTAAGGTAAGGTAAGGTAAGGTAAGGCAAGGTAAGGTAAGGTAAGGTACACTTTTACGTGTTTTCAAACATTATTTCCTGCCCCTTGAATGAAGAGAATAATATCTATAGTCAGGGGTGCACACAACTTTCTCAGTAAGGGGGGGGTGGGGAGCATGTGAACGTTGTGATCAGCTGTTTTAGCGCAGTGCTGCTGTACAGACCGACGTTAACAGCAGCCCTGTCTGTGCACACGGAGACCGACTGTCGTCCGGTGATCTAACCGCCTTCTGGAAAAGCTTCACAAGTACGTCGGTACGCAAATACGCTTTGTGACACAAGTGACGGTACGCATTTCAGATTGTTGCCGCACATGCGTACCTGCGTACCACTTATGTGCACCCCTGTCTATAGTCTTTATAACTCTGGAATACCTTTTGGAAATGTTATTAATATGCACTCTCCCTGTCAAGTTGAAGGAATACACTGAACTGAATGAAGCAGATGTTTAGTACCTTTCTCTTGATGGGGGTGAAACAGGCGGGGCAGTTGGACCTCTGGCACTTCAGACCCTCGAAGCCTGGCCGGCACCGGCAGCGACCCGAATCATCACACTGTCCGGACTCAGAGCCCAGAACACTGCAGTCACAGGCTGAACAGAACCAGAGAGGAACACTTTAACACTGCAGTCACACACTGAACAGAACCAGAGAGGAACACTTTAACACTGCAGTCA